TGGCTACTATCAGATATAGAAATGTAATAAATGCAATAAATCAACAAAGACCCATCTCAAAAAGGATTCCCACAATAACCCGATTTAAAGTTTTACTGCAGAGATATATGCATGTGGGAACCCCTGATGATATTAAAAAAAAGAAACAAAACTGCACTGTAAACAATAAACAAACATTAGTTAAATAGTGGAATCTAGAAAAATCATGTAAGTACCTTATGTGTTTGACACTGCTCTCTTATGCAAATTAGACATTAGTATGTCATTTACAATCCCATTTTGATTTGTTTTACATTTTTAGCTAATTTTTCTCTCCATAGAAAAGTTAAAATTCAAATGCTGAAAATGCAATTTGTAGTCCTCCTTTTGCTAATGCAGACATTTTCACTGAAGGTCAGCTAGAAATAAATTTCAAATTTAGTATTGTGGTATAGTAAATTGGTAGTGCAGGCCAAGTGTTTCTCATCAATTTAATTCCTTTCTAGTACCTTGCACAAGTACTTAGACAAAAGCCTTTGCTTCTTACAAAACCAACAAACATATACAGAAATATACAGAGCCTAATTTTATATATGTCCAGTGAGGTATGGTAATTCGGTGATGCATGACTAGCATATGCAGGGCAGAAAAGTAAACTCAGGTAACTTATTTTCCTTTTTTGATCATGCAAACTTGGTATGTGGGGTGAAAACATACATAGGTTCCCTGGCCTCTACTGCACTCCATGATACCTGGGGGGAAGGAGAAATTGAATAATAATTTTGCTACAGGAAAGTTTGTCTATTCAATCTTACTTGGTGAGTTATCACTATCAGCATTTTCTGCTTCTGAGCCTTCATTTTTATTGCACTGATAAACTTCTAAAAGTGAAGATTTGTCTGAATTAAGAAAAACTCAGTAGTGAATGCCTTACATAAAATTATTCCCATTGCATAGTTTTTAAAAAATCATTTGTGGGAGAAGAAAGGCTGGGTATCAATATATGAATACTTGTCAAACATGCTATTCAGTATTCTAAAAATAATCCAAAATTTCATAAATCAATTGTGTTTTGAAAATTAGTGCTTCTTTTTTCTGCCCTATGTCACTTGCCAATTATTTTTATTGAGTGACCACAATTTTTATATTACGGATGAAGGACATCCACTTTCTCCATACCATACATACAAAGTCCTATCATATCCAAACAAACACAACCATTTCCCGAGAGCCAGTGTGGTGTAGTGGTTAAGAGCATGGGACTGGGACTTAGACAATCTGGATTCTAGTCCCCGTTCAGCCATGGAGCCAACTGGGTGACTTTGGACCAGTCACAGATTCTCTGCCCAACCTACCTCACAGGGTTGTTGTTGTGGGGATAAAATGGAGGAGTGAGGAGGAGAATGATGTAAGCTGCCTTGAGCCCTTTGCAGGAAAAAGGCAGGATATAAATAAAAAAATAAGTAAATAAATTTCTCTCCTAAACTAAGAAAGCTTGATATATTTTCTTGTTTCTCTTAATAACTTTGGTTGCTCTTTTCTGTACCTTTTCTAGTTGTACAATATACTTTTTCATAATGATACCCAGTATTTCAAATGTAGCTACATCACAGGTAAGGAGATGATGATGCTATCCAGTTTCTTTTCAATTCCTTTTGTAATAATTGTCATTGAATTTTGCTTTTTTCACTTCAATTAAATCTTTTTTCACTTTTCAATTAAATCTAAGTTAAAGATTTAATTGAGCATCCTGCATAACACCTTCAACCATTCCTAACATACTGAATCCAGTCAATTATAATTAGCAGAATCTTGTCCTTTAAAATGAATAATGAACAAGATGTCAAAATATTTTAAGGATCATATGTACTACATGAAGTACTTTGCAGTTCAGAAAACCCAGCCAAAACTCAAGGCTGGAAAGAGAGGTGGATGATTAGGTTGAAATGCTGAGTAGTAACTGACCTGTTCAGTAGATCTGTTAAAGCACAATAAAAACCACTTAAAACTTACCAGGTCAGCATTTTACATAAACTGGCAGATATCACATCCATTAAAGAGGACATTAAAAAGATCTGTCAACAGTGACTAAACTACTTGTTCATGTACAGCTATCTACTGGATTTTGTATTTTGCTAAATTTGTGACAGTTATCTGCAGTTTAAATAAATTTTTAAGTGAACAAACAATACCTTTAAATACATACTTTGAGAGAAAATACACATTTATTGTATGTATTTATAGGGAGGATATCATAAAAACCTCATTTAGAAACACCCTCCTCCAGAATGGGGTGGCATAGAAATTTTCTAAATAAACAAACAAACAAACAAACAGTTAGCTCACACATACACAATCTCTGAGTGATTAAAGAGGACACTAGGGGCTGATCAACAAATACTGAGCAGAAACAAAATTACTAATTTTTACCTTCTGTACTTAATCCTGGACTTGAAGTAAATTTTGCTACATCGACAATCTTCACTGCAAACTGTTGTCCAGTCTCTCTGTTGATACATCGCCGCACAACACTGAATGGGCCCCTAGAAAGGAAGACACTACTTAGTTAATTGTTTTTAAACTCCACAAGAACCCATTATGTTTACATACAGTTTTATTATATTTCATTATCAATCTTATTAATGCCCACTATCATGGTATTTTAAGAGATTCACAGTAACACCTAGTCAAATAAAGAAAAAAACACTCTTCATTTTAAATATTTATTAATTTTAAAAAACCAGTTACAAATCTATTACGTGTAAGGAAAACATTAAGTACTGTGTATTTTTAAAATTTCCAATTTTTTCACCTTAAAAACCTTGGGAAACAGTTTTGCAACAGCTTCAAAATTTTCAGAAATTTTATATATCTACAAAGGATTCTTTAAGTAAACTGTGTTGGGCAGGATTTTTAGCCCAAAAGATGTCCCTTCACAGAAATATTTAAAAAAAGGAAATTGTTTCCAGGTTGGAAGTTGCTGGCCTAGCAAGCACCATTTCCATTCTTGATAGAAAATTAGAGGATGTCTTGAGGTTTCTGGGTCATCATCCTATTTCAGCATCCCTTAATTTAGAAGCAAGGCCCTCAATGACTGGGTTTGCACAACACACTACACTATAGAGGGGGGAGAGCTTCGCATGGGGTCTGGACCCTTTATGCTGCCCAGCGGCTGATTTATAAGCTACTATGGCTTATAAACCACCCCAACTACCCATGGTTTATAGCAGTGTTTAGGAAACCTGCCTCCCATAGTGTAGTGCATCCTCCAAACTTGGAGGACACACTAAGTTGCGGTCAAGCTGAAAGGCTGTGGAGCTGCCATTGCAAGCAGTTCCAGCTGATAATAATTTGCAAAGTGCCTAGGAAGCAGTTTGCACAGCAGTTACCAGCTTTCACCCATGTTTCCATGGTCCCAGGATAGCTTGCAAGGTCCCAAACAGGATAGCTTGCAAGAAATTTCACTCTCCAGGCATCAGCAGGAGTAGACACTCAAGACAACAAACAGAGTAGATTTGCATCCTCCACCCTGTTTCTCCTGCCTGCCACTGGGAAGGAAGAAAAATGGGGCAGCAGGTAATTCATCCTTTCTAGCATCTGGAGGAGCACCATTCAGCTGAGTAATGGCTCTGCCTGGTGATGGAGAGTACAAGCCACCTGGTACTATCCTTCCAAGGCCAATACCAAGCAGCTTGATCCTGATCACCACCACTGTAGCCAACATTGCTGCAACACAGGTGACAGAAAGAATGAATTATTCTGCCTGGCCTCCTGGGGAAGAGGTCAAGCAGAACCACTCATTTCCAGCTAAATGTCCTGTCCTTACTTGTTACAGTGCCTGAGGATAGAACAAGTGAGAACAGGGCACTAATTACCCTCCTAGGTGGTGAAATCCTCAACAGCTAGGTAAGGGGGATGGCGAACCCCATCCTTACCCACATTGCGGACCGCCTAGTGGCAAGTGGGGAAGAGAGGAGGTGTGTACGTGTTCTTGTTTGGCAGCATGTTTATTCCCCTTCTGACTCTTGCCGGTTTTACAGAGGCCAGAATTACTTTTCTCTACTCCAATGCCAGGAAAGTGGGATTATTCACAAGCAACTCCACTCTACCAGCATTGACATGGTATCCTTCTGGATAGGCTGGCTGGGTTGGGAGTTGGAGGCTCTGCATGGCAGTGGTTCCACTCCTATTTGGCCGGTCAATTCCAGAAGGTGGTGCTGGGGGACTTTAGCTCTGCACCGTGACAGCTTTGCCATGGAGTGCTGCAGGCTCTATTTTGTCCCCCATGCTCTTTAACATCTACATGAAACCACTGGGAGAGGTCATCAGGAGGTCTGGGCTGTGGAGTCATCAGTATGCTGATGACACCCAGCTCTACCTCTCATTTACACCTACTCCAGGTGAGGCAGTGGCTGTCCTTAATTGGTGCCTGGCCAAGGTAATGGACTGGATGAGGGCCACAAACAGACTCAATCTAGGTAAGACGGAGGTCCTTTTGGTGGGCGGTTCAGGCTATCAGGTGATTTTGGCCCTGTCCTGGATGGGGTTGCACTCCCCATCTTAGGAGTGCTCCTTGACCCAGAACTGTCCCTGGAGGTCCAGATGACAGCAGTGGCAAGGAGCGCCTTCCTTCAGCTTCGGCAGATCCAATAGCTGCGTCCTTGCCTGGATGAGCAGTGCCTAGCAACGGAGACACATGCCCTGGTAACTTCCTGGTTGGATTATTGTAACCCGCTCTACGTGGGGCTGCCCTTGAAAATGGTCTGGATACTTCAATTGGTGCAAAATAGAGCTGCCAGGCTGCTGCTGGGGACTGGCCGTTATTCTCACATAACACCAGTCCTCTACCAGCTTCATTGGCTCCCAATTGAAGTCCAGGCCCAATTCAAGGTGCAGGTACTTACCTATAAAGCCATAAATGGCTTGGGTCCTGGATACCTGAAGGAACATCTCTTCCCCCATATGTTCTCATGCCCCTTAAGATCGACAGGGGAGGCCTTGCGCTGGGAACCCTCTTTGAGGGAGGTACGAAGGGTATTCACGCAGAGGAAGGCCTTCTCTGAGGTGGCACCCAGATTATGGAACATGCTCCCCAGAGAGGTCTGCCTGGTGCCAACCCTCTACTCTTTTCAGCGCCAGGTAAAGAGCTTTTTATTTAACCTTCATTTTAACAACTAATACTATTTTAATAATATTGCTAATTTGTATACAGTTGTATTATTTTTATTAATTAAAAGAGGATATATTGTGGAATGTTTATGTTATTATATTGTGTATATTGAAATTTTATTCATGTAAGTCATCCTGAGGCTGTCGCAAAGGACGCCATACAAATGCCATAAGTAAGTAAGTAAGTAAGTAAGTAAGTAAGTAAGTAAGTAAGTAAGAAAGAGTATAGGCTGATAGCCACCAAAGTGCTGAATGGGCACCAAAAGTGCCAACTGGGTACTTTTTGGCAGTTGTTATCCCTGTTGCCCTCAGTGCTCCTGTGATATTCCTTGGGATACATGTGCAAGGATGAAGAGGCCACCTCCTATGCTGTGCTTTTTTGTCTGTTAGGCACAGTGGAACACCTTGTAAATTCTCACCAGTGTATGGTTAAAATTTCCAAGGGGATTTGGGTGTCATGCAAACCCACACAGTTAAGTGACTAGCAATTATTAATATGGCACTTTTGATATGGCAGATACTGCAACAATGTGATATGACATTCAGGGCCTTCTGAGATGTCTTCTTAAGGCAGATTTCATTGGATCTGGCCAAACTTATGGGAAGTGCTGAACATCCCTTACACTGCAAAATAGGAAATACAGTGGTACCTCGGCTCATGAATGCCTTGGCTCACGACCAGATCGGGTTGCGAACAAAAATTTCATGAAAATTTTGATGTGGGTTGTGAACTCCGCATTGGGTGGCAACCAAGATTGTAGCCATCTCCCCACCCCCGAGTGAGGAGATGGCCACAATCGCAGTTGTGTTCGTGCAGGGAAGATGTGTGTGATCACGGGCGTGCTCCTGTAGGAATGACAGGTACAATCTCGGCCATCTCCCCCCACAACCAGCAAGATAACGAGATTGCACCCATCTCTCCCTCCCCCAGCTTGCCTCATTTGCACCCATCTCTCTCTCCCCCAGTGCACCAGCGATTGCGCCTGCCTCCACGCCCCCCCCCCCGTGCGCCGGGATGATGGGTGCGTACAGAGATGAAGGGAGCAATTTCAGTCATGCTGGGGGGGGGGGGGGGGGGGGGTGCATTTGTGCTCGGGGTGAGGAGGGGGGATGGCTGTGATCTTTGTTGTTCTGTGACTTTGCTTCACATTTTTCTGATTAAAAAAAATGGTTACAGAACGGATTAACCTTATTTACATTGAACCTTACAGAAATTTAACTTGGCCCATGACCAATTTGGCTCATGACCAGAGTCCTGGAATGGATTAAGTTCATGAGTCAAGGTACCATTGTATGCTTTCAGGTGTATGTTATCACACCTGTAAGATCTTTAGATTAGGAAGGCAGATCTTCCCTGGAAATTTATTTATTTATTTTATTTATTCAAACATTTCTATGCCGCCCCATTTGCCGAAGCCTCGGGGCGGCTCACAACATACAATTAAAATACAAAAAATAACAATATAAAATAAGTCGCCCTGGCCAGATAAAATAAGCAAATAATATTAACAATTAAAATGACTCTTAAATAAAAAGGTCTTCGCCTGGCGCCGAAAAACAAATAACGACGGCGCCAGGCGGACCTCTCTGGGGAGCGCATTCCATAGATTGGGCGCCACCGCAGAGAAAGCCCTCCTCCGAGTACCTACCCTCCTAATTTCTTTCACGGAGGGTTCCTGGAGAAGGGCCTCTCCCGCAGATCTCAAGGGGCAGGCGGGCATATATGGATGTAAGCTCTCCTTCAGGTAACCAGGACCCAAGCCATTTAGGGCTTTATACGTCATCACCAACACCTTGAATTGGGCCCGGACTTCAATGGGAAGCCAGTGAAGCTGACGGAGGACTGGAGTCAATTGAACATAACGCCCAGTCCCCGTCAGCAGCCTGGCAGCTCTATTTTGAACCAATTGAAGTATCCAGACCGTCTTCAAGGGTAGCCCCATGTAGAGTGCGTTACAGAAGTCAAGGCGGGAAGTCACCAACGCGTGTGTCACCGTCGCCAGGTAGTCGTACTCCAGGTAGGGGCGCAGCTGATGAATCAGCCGAAGCTGAAGGAAAGCGCTCCTTGCCACTGCTGTCACCTGAGCGTCTAATGAAAGCTTTCTGTTGGCTCAAATGATGTATTGAGCCAACAGAAACATCATGATTAACATGTGTGCCTCCAAGCAGGTTGGCCATAGATGTTCTTGACCTCTCATTTTAATGAAATACTTGGCTTTACAGCTTGGAAGCCAGATACAATTAGGCCTTGGAAAACAAAACAAAAACAAAAGCTTACTGTCAGTGTTAACATTTTCACCAATTTCATAAGGATCAGAATTTCTGCCTAATTCAACATGATGCATTAAGCATGTGCATGCATATAGATGGCCCAACTACATTACACCCATATGTGTAATGTAGAAAGTTCTGAAATATGCTCTTTCTAGAAAAGGTAGCTTTAAAATACAACCATTTGGATTGCAGAAGCCACAGAGAGGCAGAGTGATTACTTTACCTTTCTCCTACCCATCACCTACAATCAGTTTCTTTTTCTCATGGGAACTCTTGCAAACACACAAGCAGAATATGGGGTTGGGGTGGGGTGGTTGAGGAAATTTAGAATGAATGAAATAACTGGAAAATTCCCAATAAAACACATTGGGAATTTATCTATGCAACTAGATAAATTCCCCCCCTCGCCATATGTTTTTTCAACAAATTTTTAATAGAATGCTATCTCTAATTCTTCAAGTGACACAGAATGAGTTCATTAACATTAGATTAATAAATTCATACATGCATGAGGAGGAGGGCTTGGGGAACCTCACATTTTGCAGGATAAGAAAAAACAACTCTTTGAAAAGCAAAAACCCTAAAGTAGGAGCAAATGCAGCCCAAAACAAAAGGAGCAAGTGATCACAAGAGGCTATGGAAATTGACTTTTGAAAGGGGAGGGGTATGTAAAAACTGGAAGGCAGGGAGAATGGAACTGAGTATGCTGGAGAAGAGCATGGGTGGCAGACACTGAAGGCATACTGAACAGAAGCATTCCATTGCAACACTTCCTTGCAAGTTCTATTTGTATATTCAGATTTCCATATTTACCTAAAACAGGGATAAGAACCTCGTGCCCTCCAGATGGGAGTTACAGACTAACACCTCTGGAGGGAACCCGATTACTAACTCCTGGCTTAAAAGAAACTTCTTTCCTTTGCAAACAAGAAGCCATCCAATGAAAAAAATAACAAGTAGACAATGGGTTTTTGATGACTGTTTTTTTTTCAGAAGGGGGGGGGATTAAATAAACCCAAGTGGCAAAAGAAAGCAGTGGAAAACAATAATTTACAATCATATATCACTGAAGTTTTCAGCAATGTTGGCTATGTAAAATTACAGATGAAAAGCTAAAGTGAAAACAGCACAAGAGGGCTAGTTCTTCCATTATTGTCCATAATGGAGAATGTTAAACTTTGCCCATTCAATTCATACAAGCCGACACTCAAAATGTCTTGTGCAGAAATCCAACCATTTTGGCCCAGTGCTTCTAGAACAGTGTTAAAATTCTAATAAGAAAATATATTCCTGTTGGGAGTATGAAAAACTCTTTAAAGCTATGTTTAAGTCACTAGAGTTAAAATTGCACTTTCATACTCTGAAATAATTGGTTTAATATCAAAATAATAACAACAATAGCAACAGTATTAGAATATGCTATACTTTTTCCCTATGTGGCTTTGAAGCCACATACAGTGATGACTACATTGCATTGTACTGTGTCTTACACCACACTGTACCCCTTGCAAACAAATAAATAAATCTGGGGGTCAATAGTTCATTTTACTGAATAGTTACTGAAATGAAAATTGATGCCCCATTTCTTCCAACATCTAAATTTTTAAGAGAGATACTACGCTGCACCGCATTGCATTTTGTATTTTCCTCCCCACTTTGAAAAAGGTACAACATCTAGCTGGTATTTAAACTTGAAACACAGAAATGTGTCATATTGGTGAATAAACTTTTATTCTTTTTCAATCTTCAGTAGTGCTATTGTATTACTTAAAAACAAACAACACTTGGGTAATTATAAAACTATCTTTTAAAATAGGGTTTGACAGAGACATGGATGAACCCATTCTGCAAATAAGTTACACAGTGTGTGTTGCTGTGAAACAACCCATGGTATGCCCGAAAGATGTTAAGGCTCACTGAGGATTTCCCCCCTCTGACCTCCCAAAGGTAACCCAGGGAACTCAGCAGCAAAACCCAATTTGTCTTCTCTCCCTGCTGTTAACATATTAACATCTTCCCTGCCTCTGCGCACACATTTTTTAGCAGCTGCTTTCTTCAATCTCCAAGATAACTAGAATTACCCACCTCAAGTTGCCCAAGTGGTACATTTGAGCAGCTGTTACTGGTTTGTTAGCTTTCCTTTTCATTTTCTTGCACCCAAGATTTGCACGGGGAGGTGGGGTCAGTGTTTCAAAATTGAGCAAATACACATCGCTTAACTATTCCAAATGTGCAGGCTTGCTTCATCAATCCTCTGTCAAAGCACAGGTGGTACTATCCATGGAAATGGACAAGGAAGGATACAAACAGGTACATTTCCTTGCTTTGCTTCTCTGACAGATGTCAAATGGTGAGCTGTCAAGTGAAAAGCAAAATCACAAGGGGATCTCTGCTGGTGAAAGGTGGTCACATGTAGATCACCTCCTTCTCGGTGATACTCTGCAATTGTTTGTTCTTAGTGTCCTCCAACTTTTCCTGAGATTCTAGGTTCTCAAAAAAGTGTAAAAAGGCAAGCTACTCCATGGATAAGAGCACTGAGTTTTGACATCTGTCAAAACTTAGGATTGCTTAAAAATCCTATATTGGTATGCTGATCTTTATAGTACTGTACTCTGTCTTGCAAGACCAGTGAACTCTAAAAGAAGCAATGGGATTAAGGTAATTTTCTCAACCCTGTGTGCTTATTTTATAACATTTCTGCTGTGAAGAAGAGGCATGTGATCTCTTCAGACACACATTCACAGTTTTGAGAACTCTAAAACCAAGCATCTGTGATATTAGCTTCTAAAGAGAAAAACTGCCCAAGAGTCTTACTTACAGAAACCTTAATGCTACATAAATCTAATCCTTTTTTCATGATGAATAACCTTTGGACTATAATGTATCTTAAACAGAAAACTATCTTTTGATATATTTTTCTTCAAAAAAGCATTTTATTTTAAAAAAATCAAATTTAAATAAAACATCTGATTTAAAATATTAAAAACCATTAAAAACATTGATGTTTTTATCCCAGCTTGGTTTATTGGTACTTTTTTTTTTAGTTTAATAGGCATCAATGTTTGGTAGTGGCCCCATTTATGGGCCTTTCCGGTAGTGGTGCCCCATTTATGGAACCAGTTCCTCAGGGAGGTGTGCTTGGCACCATCACTTTAGCACCAATTTGAATCTTGTTTGTTTTCCTGTTATTTTAATTGTTGAATAGATGTTGTAATTTTATTTTTCAAGATGATGACTGGTTGCTGTGGTTTACTATGTTGCCTAGTTTAACTTTATTTACCATTTAATGGTTGCTTGTTTCCCCTGTATTTTTGTGATTTGGATATGATTTTATATGGATGATATGTGTCATGTGCTTTAAATAATTGTATAACATGCTGAGAACATGTGCTGATAGAATGGGGTATAAAAAAAACTTTAAATACAAATAAATAATTTTTGCAATACCTTAATTAACTGTTCTACAGTAGGGCTCCACATTGGAAGAGGATTCTATACCATTAGAAGCTAGGACATTCCCTGATGGGTCATCCTCTCCAGCTGCTAGGCATTTCTACCCAATCTGGCTTCAAAAGTCCTTTATTACTGTCAGGGTTAGGGTTAGACACCAGGATCAGAGCAACAGAGCATCGGCAAAACAGTCTAAAAGTAAGGTTTAATGGCAAGTCCAAATCATAATCTTGGGTCAGGAATCAGAAATATGCATCAGAAATATGCATCAGGGCAGAACAAGAACAGGGTCAGGAACAAGCCAAGGGTCAAGAACTAGAAGGACATACAGAGGTGCAAGATAGCAGGATGGGAGACACAGCATGATATACAGCAAAGCAAGATACATGAGACTACAGGAACCAGAAGCAGCAAGGGCCAGACAAGATGCAGGCACTGAAGCACAGCTTGCAGGAAGCCCTGTGTTACTGAAGCAACACAATGAGACAGGATACACAGACAAGGCAAAATACAAGTCAGGCAAGAGGCAGGCACAACAGCAAGGCAACATGAAAAAGCAGGAATCAGGAGAAGGAACTGCAGGCACAGCAGCAAACAAGCAAACCTGTGTTGCTGAGGCAACTTAGCAAGATGCAGGACACACAGCAACAACAGTCAGGCTAGGTGCAGGCACAGCAACTACCAAAAAAACCTGTGTTACTGAGGCTAGTTCTAGAGGGAAGAGCTTGCACTTATATAGCTCTTCCCCCACTTCCAGCTGGCACTCATCAGCAGAATGAGAGCTCCACAGACTGATCCTGTGAATACAGTGATAATAGTTTTGGTTCTGGGCACCAGAGCACTCCTGATTCTGAAAATTACTTAGACCAGAATCTAACATTTCCCCTTGCTTTGTTAATATAAAGGCTTCCTAATTTATTTTGGCAACCTGCAGGCAAAAGGAGTACCTTTATGTTGACCAGTATAGAATACAGTTCTGGGAATGCCAGGACTTTATATTTCCCAACACAGAGAATCAAGTATCTCAGTACAACCAGGAACTGGTCCTCTGCCATAACATAATCTTCTGACCTGCAAACACATCCTTCCACACCACACCTTAGAATAAGTTTGAACCTGCAGACAATGTGACTTTACTATCTAGTCAGCTTCTTTCCTCCACTCCCCATCCCCCAGCACCTTCATAACCTGCCTTTCATAACGTTTTGACTGAAGAATAAATCTAGCTTACACAATTTGGGGGTGTTCTTTTTATTGGCCTAATAAAGGTATTGCAGTATTGTGGATTTTGAGAAATTTGCAATGGAGCCCAAGTGATGTCTTTTGAACTTTAAATTCAGCAAAGGGTTTTATTCTGCCTAACCTTGAGACTTGGCTTAGAATTTTGTTCAAATTAACAAATTAACATTTGCTTGTTTTTATGATACTTAGCTCATTGATACCCCAATTGATACCCCAAAGGACCCCAATGTTTCCTTTAGTGCTTGTTGCCAGAGGTTATTCTGTTGATGTTTCTGTATGTGGAAGATACTTTGGTAGATGGTTTTGAATGCATATTCAAGCATGTTGCTGCTATATCATATATACTAATAATGAAGCTGGGTGACTGTGTGTCTATAAAGAGCTGGAAAGCAAAATTTGGTGACCCAAAGTTAAGAAAGTAGTTCCTACATATTTGTATTCTTCTCAGATATACAGAATATACATTTATCAATCAAAAGAACCATTTTAAAAACTGCATGACAAGAACTGTGTCATTACTTGTTATGAGCTTCCAAAACTTACAGAATGTTGTTAGCTGTTGGGTTTATACAGGTAGCTACATATTAGAATAATTAGCTCCAATGTACGGAGATACCCCCCCCCCACTTCTCACTTCAGCTAACAGTTAATTACTAATCCAGGAAAATAACATGAATAATCCTCAGTTATCTTCTTAAGTTCTGTTTCCAGCATTGTGTCACATCTCAGTTTGATCAAACAGAAGATTTCTAGATAGGGATACGCATATAAGGACTAGCTAAATTCTCAGAGGGTCCTATTAAATTCTGTCAATGGGACTCAGCTGTGGGGGAACAGATTCAGCTTTATATCTCCAACAAAGGGTCACCATATGCTCTAGAAGTGCTGCACTGTGGTTTTCTTTACATTTACTCATATAAGTGAATGGCTACTAGTGGATTTTATGAACAAAGTGCTGCAGAAAGAACAAAACCAGCCAACCATCTTGACACTAGGTGGACCAACTAACACAAAAAGGAACACTATTTCCCTTTCAGTAACAGCTCCATAGCTCTAAAGCAGGGGATAATGCTTTCTACAAAAAGTATTAAGGAAATAGGAAAGAAGCAATGCAGAATATTGCCTTTGTATATACACGCCATCCCAAAAATACTTCAGAGTGTTTTGCTTTGCTGGTGGTGGGTTGTTCCTTGTATACTTCTCAGGGCATAAAGACCATAACTAGATATGCACTAAGAGAAAGCTGCAAAATTTTTGAAAAATTACAGTCACCTGGTTTTGAGTGTGTTCTCCTGGTACTGCATTAGAAAGCTGATATGAGGATTCTATTGAATTCCAATCCACCATGCTGCCTAACAGTTTGCTCAGAGAGAGGAGTGGTCTGCTCAGAGTGGTGGTGATGTTGAGAACCTCAAGTTTCATAGTGAGGGCAACCAAAATGGGTGGGGGTTGTCAGATGATCCCACATCCACTCCTAAATAGGCTGAATGAAGGTAAAAAGAATATGACTCCATCTTCTGATGCCTTATTGTCCCCAGCAAGCATACCAAAAGGATGATCTTCCCAGTGCATCTGCCAGGAATCAGCTTTGCCACCACAAGATCTTCCTCACTGGAGCTGTGTGTTATGTACCACTGTAGTAGTCACATTTGCTACACAGCTGGCATTCTGTGTAACTTTGGATTAAGGAACAGGAAGGTTGATGACTAAAACACAGATGGCATAAGTATCGAAGTAAATATGACCAAACAAAGATTAAGACCCATTTTAGGACCTGCTCTGCAGCAGTGATGCTGGTGGAAAAAAGCTTATTTATTCATCACCATTGCATCTGCACATTGTTGACCAACTGGTCAGAAGCCTGCTTGGTACAGTCCCAATGAGTGGGCTGTTGGAACCTCTGAAGGCCTGTTGTAATATATCTGCATTACATTTTCCAGATAAATTTGCATTCATTTCAATTTGGATGCCAGCTTGACAGAATTTGAGATATGTTGTCTGGCCCTGTTATAAATACTTTCAGATGGTGTAGACAGAGGGTATTGACAAGCTGCTTGGAAGACAGAAATCTACTTGCTATTTAGATTCTTGACCCTCTTGGTTAGTGAAGTCTGCCAGGACTCAGCTTACAAGAAGAAATGGTCAATTCCTCACTAAAGGATGCAATTGTTTCAGTGCTCCTAATGGAGACAATGATAAAATCACTCTTGAAGAAGCCTTTTTATATCCATTGGGTATGGAGGATAATCACTTGATTTCAAAACTACCACTTCTGACTATGGTCTTAGAATGGATGTCAGGATGCTGTTATGTCAGCTCCGGGCAGGTTTGGATGACACTGATTATTTCAATCCATTCCAGTCAGGCTTCCAGCTTGGAAGAAAAACTGCTTTGGTCAACCTCAGGGACAAATTAGATCAGGAAACTGATAGGAAGAGTGTGACCCTACTTGTTTTCCTGGACTACCTGGTGGTATTTGATATTACTGATCATGGAATCCCTCTAGATTGGGTTGGGTATGTTGTGTTGCAATGGGTCAGGTTCTTTCTGGAAAAGTAGAACACAAGATGGTGCTGAAGGACTTTTGTCCTACACAATTGCCAATGACAACTGGGGTGCTTCAAGGTTTATTCTGGTCTCCTGCACTTTTAAAGATTTATAGGGCACCCTAGGAGAAATCATCCTAGAGGTTTGGGTTGAGCCAGGGGTCAATACATGGATGACATCCATCTCCAACTATCTTTTCCACCATCTAATTTTGGACAAGTGTCTTCAGGCAGTATAGGAATGGAAAATGGCTAACAAGGAATTACCAAGTTTAATTTGGTAAAAGATCAATGTACTGTAGGTTGGTAACTCTGTTAATTTAGATGGAGGCTTAGATATGACACTAGATGGGGCTTTATTCTCCCTGAAGGGGCAAGTGTGCTGTCTGGGAAGCACAGTTTATATAGAGGTAGAAGTACTATCAGTTGCCAGTTGCATTTTACCAAGTTAGCCTTATCTAGAAAAAGATGATCTAAGAAGAATGAAACATCCTCGGTTGCATTCAGATTAGATGATTGAAACACATGTTACATGAGGCTGAAGATTACACAGAAACTGCCAGCAGTACAGTATGG